ACACAACTGACATGTATTAGTTCAAACCATAATGTGATTGAAGGACCAGACTCAGGAAGCTGCTGAACAAAAAAGAAATTTTTACTTGTTGCATTGATTCATAGACAAATTCATTGCAGTTCACAAACTGTGACTGAGGTGAAGGGTTCAACGGCACAGAGTCACACACAGCCATCAATTATCAAACTGAGTGAAGAGACACCACATCCACGCTCCTTTCTAAGACGAATTTATCACTGAAAAGCCTTCAAATAAGGAATTTTAAGGCATCACGCCCTCAGCGGTGCTGCACATAAAGCACCACAAGTCCTCAGGATGTGGTTTCTGTAACACTGCTATGTGTGCCAAAGAGAGATATAAAGGTACAAGGCAAGGCTCCCCAAAGGTCAGGACTGACTGATTGCAGACCCTCCTCAGTATCCCATAAGATTATTTCTACTCGGGTAAAGAGAACTAGACAGATCTTGGATGCCTCACCAAATGATTCCAATGAATTTGAACCGTGGTCACAGGCACAGCTGCTTACAAAGAAGCCATCCCAACAGTGGTGATCCTGATACACCTCGATATATTCTACACATCATTCTCTCTGTAAAGTTCCATTTTGGATGAATTAATTTAACACACAACCAGCTACTTAGCAGGTAAACAAATTACCACAGACTTGCCTACAAAAGTCACATTAGAACATCAGAAAAAGCTATAAAGGAGATAATCATCTCCTAAATAGACAAAATTTGTTAAAGATGGGGCTGATAGCAGAGCTTCTCTTTCAAGGGCCATCTCCTCTTCTAGGTCTGCATGAGGTACCTTTTTACAAGGTACACAGGAGGAGTAGATGGCTGAAAGACAACAGTTACTTTGAAGGGAGAAGAAAAAAAAAATCACACCTCCAAGACAAATTAATAAAAGTTATTGCATGCATACACAGGTCAGCAAACAAGCTAAGATGCTAGTCACACTGACACAAGCACTGCTTGACTGATTTCTCAATATTCTAGACTTTAGCACCATCACGGATGTCTGACAAAGTGGTAAACAGGAGGAAGTTTAACGCAAATGAGCACTGAGCTTAACTCTGACCCTGTTATTTCTCCATTTTCATGGAAACAGACTTAAATGTCACTGATTCACAGTAAAAGCTAACATTAAACCCTCAAACAATGGTACATTGTCTATAGACTGTCATGCCCAGAGGTTCCAGTGTGCAGCAGTAATAAATTATTCACAATGATCAAGAAGTAACTTTTTAGGCAACAAACCATATAATAAATCTATTTACACTTTCAAAGTTTTCTTCTGTAGAAGTATTAAATATTTAAAGACTATTTGAAGGTATTTTTAATGTTAATAAGAATAAAAACGTTTCCTGACAGCACAGTATTTTGCCGTATTATGAAGTATTTTTTATACTGAATGCTTTTAGGTAAATTATTTCAACTTGTGATGAAAACCACCAAAGAGAGAAACAAGAATCAAAATAGGAACCTTAGCAAAGAAGAAAGACTTGGCAGAAAGGAACACAGGCAGATAATTCAGTCATAAGAAATATAATGTAAGTAATTAAACTTCCAGAGTCCTGAGAGGTAACAAAGTATCACCACCTTCATTTAACAAATTAATGATAGTTTTTATGTTGCACTACAGAATAATAACGCAATTACAAATTCCCAGACAACAGCACTGAGTGCATGTTTCATCAGGGCTGAATGCTATCAGTTCTACACATTGTGCTACTGATAGTGTGTGTCCTGTGCTCTCCATGTGATGAGACCTCTCATGTCTCCCACACTCTGTTCAACAATATTAGTAAGTCCTTGGACAAGGAAAGCAAGGATTTCCAGGCCTGTGAATGGGCTCCCTCTTTCCTGCAGCTGCCACTCTCAGCCAACATAATTTTGCTTGAGGCACGAGAGGAAGAGACAGAAGGGTGAACGAGATGTGGCATCAATATTTACAAAAGTTTGTTACTGTGATTCTTCCCTCCCTTCTCGCAATACCCACCTACATCCCAAAATCCACAGGTCTCAACCACACAGCAGCTCTGCTGCTTTGCTGGCAGCTGGATGGCACCTGGGCTATCAGTTCCAGGGCACACCACAGCCCCGGGAGGAGATGAGGACACAAGTGTAGCAAAGGGTGACAAAGGGTGGCTCGGACCACACCACAGAATTAGTATCACTGATACTATGATAACAATGCACAACAACCAGCGTGACACAACAATTAGGGTTAATTACAGCACTATTGCAGGAGTGATATCCTGGCCAACGCTGGCCACACACTGCAGAAGGTATCTGCAGTATGCTCACAATACCAACTCCAGGGCTGTTAGAGGAGTTAATGCAGGGACACAAATCTCAAATCACTGCCCGAGTGAACATGAGGCAGAGATATTGTCGAGACACGGGAATTCCATGATTTATGCAGAGAGATTCCTGGAACAGGATCATTCCCAAACCAGTAACACTATCTGCAGAAGATTGTAAATCTCAGTGGATGGGTTTCTCACTAAAATCATTTCCAATTTATCTCCACCTCAAATGACAGCGACCTTGACCCTAGAATTATTCCATAGCTAGTCAGTATAGTCTTACAAAGGTTATCTGTTTTCTTTACATCTATTCCCTGTCAGTGTAATATTCCCATTTTGTTCCTTCACCTTGTACAAAGCTGAAACAGGAGAAACCATAATCCACACATCATCCAAGAGGCCCCGCCACAATTTGCACCAAGAAACGTTTAGATAAGATATTAACAAAAATTATTATTCACCGACACAGTTATCAAGCATTGGAACAGGCTTCCCAGAGAAGCGGTCGAATCAACAACCCTGGAGGTATTTAAAAGAGGTGTAGACCTGGTACTTGGGGGCATTGTTTAGTGGTTCATTTGGCAGTACTGGGTTAATGGATGATCTGAAAGGTCTTGTCCAACCTAAAATATTCTACGCTTGTAAATTAAACACCTTCTCCTTCCCACCATGCCCTATATAGAGTAGGGCATGAAGTTCAGACGCGTGCTACAAGCCTGATGCTGAACAAATAAGGGAGTACTAGAAAAACGTCCTCCTCCCCTTACTACGCCTCCCAGTAAAAACAGTCATTGCCTCCCCTGCGAAACACAGCTACAGAACAGGGGACAATGCAGACACTCCTCGATACACCAAAGGAACTGTTGCCTGCTTTTATGAAAACCTATGAACAAGCATGGTTTCAAGTCTGATTCAAGGAAACCACACCAACACTTAACACTGCAGAGCCCCCCATTCTGTCCAAATGCCATGGATTTCACTAACGAATTGTTGGAGGAGACAGGATGACAAAGCTCAAGTTAGTAATAGAAATCTGTTCCTTGTTCCATTTTTGCCTTTTTTCTAACTTGGAAATGAAACTCGAGGTAACTTTACTAAGGAGATAATATAAAAGCAGATCTTTATTGAAGGCTTTCAGGGGCAGTTACGGAAAGACGACCACAAAAGCCCAGCCTCACAGGGGTGAGTACATTTTTATAGGTTTTAGGACATTAGCATAACTGATAAAAAGCACCAATTAGGAGGACACGCATTAACACAATTCCCCCCCACCCCAGGTCAAGCCCCTTCTCTGGAGCCTCCCGCTTTGGTACTAGTTGTACTTTGTCCATGAAAAGTATGTCAAAGAGCTGTTCTCAACCTCGGCTCCCAGGAAGAACCAAGATAGGAGAGGGTCCTTGGACCTCCTGGGGCTGGGAGCTCTGGAATTTGTTTTGTCTTTTTGCCTAGAGAAAGGCCACGGAAAATTACTGGGAAAACTAGCCACTAACAGAATAGGCTACAGAGCTACGAAGATATGCGCGAATAATACAGAGAACGTATAAAACAAAAAAAAACAGAGGCAAAAACCAAAAGGGCATCACCATCCACGGGAAAGTCCCTGCCCGTGGGAAGGCGGAATTAGAGGGATCTTTACGGTCCCTCCCAAGCCAAACCATTCCGTGATTAAACAAACAAATAAATCCCACACAGCTGGTGTTTGCAGGTACGGTCTGGGTGCAGCCGCGGAGCGCAGCCCCTCGCTGCTGGCACGGGCGGGAGGGAACGCGAACGGCAGGGCCAGGACGCGGTGCACGGGCACAGAGGAGAGCAGGCTACCCAACGCTTTAAACACCTGCACTCAGCCGGAACGCTCAAGGCTTGTTATGTTTTACCCAAGAGAATCTGCATTCAGTGCTTTTTAAAACCCTGCGAACACTCGTGTCCCGCCTGGGGCTCGAGCGAGGCTCGACAGCGGAAAATGCCCCCAGCTCTCCAAGGAAACTCCCTCCCTCCACAACCGGCTCCCACCTGTTGGCTCAGGTAGCGCGTCAGGTAGCGACCGACGGGCGGCGAAGCGCTCCGCTGGCGGCGGAGCGGGGCGGGCAGGGCGCCGGCCGCACCGAGGAGCGACAGGAGCAGGAGGAGCCGCAGCATCGCGGCGGGCAGCAGGACCAGGAGGAGGAGCAGGAGCGGACTCGGCCCCGCCGCTTTATACGGGCCCGGTCCCCCGCCCGGGGCTGCCCCGAGCGGCCCCGCGGGGAGCGCCGGAGCCCTGGGGGCTTGGCCAGCCCCACACGTGCAGGGGCGGGCCCTCAGCAGCGGCGCCTTCCGATTGGCTGTCGGTCGGCGGTTAGCTCGCGCTCGTTTCGCGGTTGGCTGAGGCGGTTCCCATAGGTGTTTCGGCCGCGCGGCCTCCCTCGGGGAGGCAGCGATTGGCTGCCCGAAGCACGTGATCCGCCCGTCTCGCCTCTCCGCGCTGTTCGGGGGCGTGGCCGACGTTCTCGCTTTGTGATTGGGCGAGAGGGGCCGCTCTCTCCACGGAGTGCGTCGCGATTGGCTGAGCGCCGCCTCGTCCCGCCCCCGTGGTAGCCCTCAGGAGCCGCACTTCCGCCCTTCCGCTCTGCCCTCAGGCTGCGGGACTGCCCGACCGGCCGAGACCCCGCTGCTGGCCCGGCCCGAGCACACCGAGCACAGCCCGCGCCCGGGTCAGTCGGACCGGACCGACTGCTTGCTGTCGGCCGCGAAGAGGCTCAGGGGTGCAAACGGGACTGAGATGTGTTAACGACTCGTGCTTTGGTTTTCCTTAGGGAGAGAGCGAGGCAGCGGGATCACCAGAGGGCAGCAGGAACCGCGCAGGGAGCTCGCTGAAAGGCTGCGAGCGCGGCGGGAGCAGCTGGAGGGCTGTGTGATGATTCCCCGGCCGGGCGCTGAGGTTTGGGTTGTTTGGTTTATCACAAAAAGTTCAAGTAAATCTCTGGGTTTTATCTAAAAGATCTTTTCGTGCCGACCTCTTTCAGTCTGCCTCCAGCTAGTGAGTTCTGTATTTCTTCCAAAGGGAAATAGAGGTGGAGATCTTGAGTCTGTTTGCTCTTGACAGAACCTGTGTAAGCACTTACAGGCTATGCTTTATCTCCCGTATTTCAGTTTAATACTTGCAGTGTTCTCTGTTTTCTGTGTGCGTTTGTGTTGCTTTTGGTTTTGTTATGTGTTTTTTAACGTCTTTTAAAAGTGCAGGTAACAAAAACTATGTAAACTTTGTTTCTAGAGTTCTGAGTTGAAAACAAGTGGGAATGAAGCGCCTGCTAGTTTCTCCAAGCCCACCTTTTTGGGCAATAAAAAAATCAGACTTAATTTTATTACTCCTTTTCTATATATTGATGTGTTTTCTATAAACTTTTTACTGTTACCTTGTACTAAAATAAAATCTTTGTAACTAAAACAAAATAGTTCCCTTTTGGTAAGAATTGAAGGAGTTGAAGGCATGCACCATTCGATATACTGAGTCAAATGAGTCTCTGTTAATATGTGTATTCTGAAGAGATGGTTTTTTCTGATTTTGTTTGGTCCCCTATTACAGCTTTTCCCTACCTCAATTTTCCAGATGTAGAGAATATTTGGATTCTTTTTTATCTGAACTATTCAGAGTAATGAGTTTAGTCACTCACATTTTTCTAGTACTCAGTATTAGAGATCTTTTTTTTCATCAGGATGCTGAGAAAGGTGTCCCAAAGGCAAAGGAATAGCCTGGAAGTTTTAACTTTCTGTTGGCAAAATATGAACAAAACATCACTGTTGATTATAGAATATGGGATTTTTTTTAACCTGTAAAAGCCATACTTGAATCTCCTCTATCTCTCTGGTCTTTTGCCTCTCAGAGAGAGTTTTGAGATGAAGATGTGGAATTCCCTTCTTATTCTGCAGTTTATTTCAGAGAGAGATTTATATTTAGCTACAGCTGTGATAAAAGAGCTTTTGCAAATACGGAATTTTAAGGAGTCATTTAATTCAGCTGTCGAGAACATTTTGGTCATTTAAGCTGGAACTCTGTGATTTGAGGTATTGGATGAGGCTCCAGGCAACTTGGTCTAGTGAAAGGTGTCCCTGCCCACGGAATTGGGGCTGGAACTAGGTGATGTTTAAGGTCACTTCTGACCCAAACCATTCCAGGATTCTATGATTGTTGTCTACTTGTTTCTAACATCTGCTGAGAAAAATGTTGTCCACCTAAAATAGGGGAAGTATCCTAAAACTTGATGTTTTAGGCAGTATAGTATAATAAAGCCAAAATAAATCTGCTGGAGAGTAATAATGAATAAAAAAAACCTCATTCCTATTTATTTAAATGTTTAGTTCATCATTTATTTGTCAAGTTTGTATAGCCTCTGTTGACCAGGAGCTGCCCCTTTAGCTCAAAGAGTGTGATATTGGAGCAAATATAGTTGCTGTTATGAGCCTTTTTCAAGATTTTCTGAGTACTCTCTCCAAGTCATTGGTGTTGAAACATTTGCAGAATTACAAGTGCAGAGTCATTTCAGTTTTTAACCCCATGTTGTGACTTCAGTCTAAATTAAGGAAAGTAATTAGCCATTTGCTGCAGTTCTGTGCCCAAGGAGAATTCTAATAAAGATCTCTAAATGCAAGTGAGAATTTGCATGATCTGTGTGCAATGGTGTGCAAACGCCATGAACAGTTCCTTCATGTTACATAGCTTTATCCTTTTTAAAATTTTCTTAGAGTTAATTAATAGAATTTCTGTTTTCAAACAGAGATCATCATTTCCTGAAGACTGCTGTTAAAATAACCCAACTGAAAGCAGTTAATGTTAACATCTGATGAGAACTCTTGGAACCATTTCGACTTACTCGTTTCAAGTGATGCTGTGAGCACATGAATAGTGTGCAGGGACTCTTGGCTGCCTCTGTGATTTCCATCCAGAATTCCTGCTTCGTCTATCCTGCCTGTCAAAACTGCTTTTCTAGGCTGACACTGGATTCCAGGAGGTATGTCTTGTTTTGGGGCTCATTTACTGATCTCCATTAACTTGGGGATCTCTGTTTGCTGAACACAAAACAAAGTGGTGAAAATACAGCCCCTCCTGATCAAATCTTGATTTTATTCCTTTTTGCATCTCATTCTACATGTGCAGTGCACCTGGTAGTCCTGTATGACTCTTCACTGAGAGCATGTCCAGAAACAGATGAGCTTTCTTTTTTAATTGCAGTGGTGGGTGAAATCTCTGACACTCAGAACAGTAAATCAATGAATGTCGGCACTAAATGGAAGGAGCTGACTTTGTAAAACAAGGATATCTGTTGTTTCAAATGCTGAAGTACAAGATAACAGTGCTGTTTCCTGATTGTTTTTTTAAACCAAGGTATTCATACTCAAGATGCAGGGGAAAAAAATCCCAAACCAGAATGAAGTGTGAAAAAAATGAGTGCAGGGGATTCAAAATTGCACCCCAACAGTCTCAAAGCCCACTGTCCCTTCAATTTCACAGGCTAGCATTTAATAAATCAGTGAAAGAAACCAGAGTCATTCTGTCATAATATACACATCTTGCTCTGAGCCTTTGGTAAGATTAATGCCTCAAGGAGTAAAGAATAAGAAAAAAAATCTTGGAGTTTTTTATGGAATATTTGATACATTATGGTAGTAATACTTAGAGCTGCAGATAAATTCTTACTTCAGCAGTGAGTAACAGAAGTTCATGTATTCAATCTGTATATCATTTTACTGTCTTTTGTCAGGTTCAACTGTCTAAAATGTGGCTGCACAGGTGAAGCTAAAGATGCAAGCTACAGATATAGGTTGTCCCTAAAGATTGCTGACACTAATGATTTGTTTGACATCACTGTTTTTGGAAGTTGCTTAGATCCATTCTTTGGGGTCACCGCAGAAAATCTGCAGAGGTAAGGAATAGATTGTCTGACCATAGCTGCTGCTATTTATTCAGCCTAAAAAAACTGCAATGAGCCTATATGGTGGGAAGATGAGTGGGAAGCAACTGCTAAAGTGCTCCCTTCCAGCATTTCCTTGGTACCCACCACCTTGAGAAAGTATTGAAGTTTGTTTCTTCTTGAAATCTTGGTGTTTTGAGATGGATTATTTGTAGATAGTAGAAGAAATCCTCTACTTGTCTATTGAAGGCAGCTACTTCCTGTTAAGTGAACCTCACTGCTTGGTTGGTTTGGCTTCTTCCTCCTGTCCTTTCTCCTTTTTATGAGATGATTGAATTCCCTTTGTTCAAGTAAGTTGGCTTTTCCAGACAGAGCCTCTGGGTTTTCTTTTTTAGCGGTTCAAATGCACCTTTATGACTATTTGGCAATATGGCCAAATTTTCCTGAAGAAAGAAGGGATTTCTAAGAAAGTCTGTTAGTCCTCAGAGCCTGACCACCCACATTATAGGGTTCAGATTTTCTGAAACGTGAAACTGCCAAGATGGGATATTCAGATAGATTCCCTGCTTCTTTCTCTAGTCTGTTATTTTCCAATGCCTTGCATTATCACTGGCTCAAAGATGAATTGTTTGTAATGCCATATTAGCAGCATTAATAACATGCTTGTGACAGGCTTTCTGCCCTACACTGTACTGCTGTCAGCCATGAAAAGCAGTTATTTCCATGTGTTACATGGATACTTCTGTGCTGTAAAGGCTGGGCAGAAAGGATGTGTAAGGAATAGCAGCATCTTGACAGCATTGTACAGTTACAGTGTTGGCAGAAAAATCACAACCCATGTGGGGAACACCTGAAAGTCATGTGTGTATTAAACCTGTTCAGAGTGGTTGTTTTGTTTACTTTATCTCACTAACAAATTAGGTGAACTAAATAATTGAATTTATAGGTTCATGGTTTTCCTGTTTTCATTCTAAGTTTACTTGAAGCTAGCACAAAATCTTCTCCTTGACTAATGTGTCTAATGTGTTTTCATTAGCACTATACTACAGCTAAAATGCAATGTAGGGCTTCTTTCTCTGTTGGTCCAGTTCTTCAATATGTTTTTATTCTAGGTATGTTCAAGACTTCAGTCAGCTGTCAGGAGAAACAAACACAGAATCATCTACAAGAGTGTTAGTTCAAGCAGTAGAAGCCTGTTTCATTGGAAAAAGGTTTCTATTTGGAGTGAAGGTAACTCTTTAATCCACATTTTGGCCTTTTATTGAGTTTCTGTAGCCAGTTAGGGGTATAGACTGAGTTATCAAAGCTTCAGGTACAACATCTTTTGGGAATTTGAGAAAATGTAAGGCTAAGACATGAGAAGGATTCTGCTTCTTTTCCCCAAGACTTCTGTGTTGTTTTTTTTTTTAATGAGTCACATCCAAAAACCATCTTGAATGGCAGTAGTCAGCTTAACAGCTTGTCAGGGTGCTTTTTGGAGAGCCTGAGCAATGCCAGCTCCTGTGCATATCAGTAACAGCTTGGAGTCTGTAAAAAACTATGTATGGTTGGAGCAAGAAACAGACTCTCTTTCCAAGCACTGCCCTACCTTTCCCATGCCATGTAGTCTCCAGTCTGAAATGTGAGGAGAAACACATGCCCTTGGTAGCATTTTAGTATTTCTGGATTTAAGAGCATTTTCAAATTGTTGTTAAAGCACAGCTGCTCAACATCTGCATTGGTGGCTCTTTTATGTGTTTAACACACTTTGAAATATTAGTTCATAGCAATATTTCTATAGAAACAGTCTTCAAGGTTCTCTTCAAGTGGTCATTCATATTATGGAATCTGTGAACTAAATCCTACCTCGCAGGTGTTTTGCCTCTCCCACAGGTCCAGTGAGTTTTGTATCTGAACTGAGAATTTTCCTGATGTACAGCATCTTAAGTAATGGAACTTGGAGGACTTAATGGATTAACTTTACTTACCTGGAACCCTTGACCAGGTCTCTGGGCTGATGCCTTGACAAATGTAACTAATCCTAGATATCACTGGCCTTGTGGCTGCTCCTGCACACACAGGAGCTGAACACACATTTGAAGGCTGTTTGTTCAGCCCTTGGCTGTAGACATTTCTGTATGGTTGTGTTCAGCTGTGTATACAGTTGTACCATCCCAGATAATACTGCTGATTCTGATCAACATAACATACATTATAAGGCTTACCTAGGAGGGTGTTGTCCTTGCCTAACAGCCTTCAGCCTCAAACCTTGCACAGACTCAGGGAGGAGGAGGGTTGTTGGAGATAACTGTATCTGCTTTTTGACCTCTCTGGCTTTGCCACACCTTGAGGGGTAGATGAGAAAGGGTTTATCCACTTCTTAAAATACGAGCTAATTCTCTCTCCATTTAATGTCATTTTTCACCTGTATTTTCAGTGTAGACAGAAGCAGGTTTTATAAAGAATTGCAGTTGACACTCCTTTGAAACACTGCTTTCTAAAAAAACCCTGAGCAGATAAAGGTTGTAGCTTATTTCCCTTTCACGGAGGTAGAGCACAGAAAGTACCATGCTGGCTTTGGCAGCTGAGCTGCCAAGTCAAGTATCTGGTACCAGAGTGCTTTGTTTCAAGTGCTGCCCAGTGCCTTCTGGATAAAAGCAATGCACTGGCCTTAGGCTGCCAGCCATTCACACTGAACTGCACTAGAGGAAGCCCGGAAGCATCCAGTGCCCTAAAGGGAGGAAGAAATTTTCTGTGAAGTCCTTTCTCAGAGTCCTGGGTTGTTTTTCCAGCTCCAAAATTCTGTAATTGCAGCAAGCAAAGAACCTCTCACTGTGATGCCCTTTACAGCCCTTGCCAGGGTTTATTTCCCAGGGACTGCCTTGTGTGACAGACCATTTTGTATTCTCTTCCCTGCAGATCCTGACAAAAGCGAGACCTAAATTTACGCCTGACTTAAAAGACATGAGTTAATTTTTTTTTTTCTCTAAGTTGTTTTTTTTGTTTTCTTTCCCCCCTCACAGGGTTGTGCAAGGGAAGATGGAGGGCATTCTGCTGCCAGCAGCGTCTTGCAGAAGTGTTCCAGAATTAATAGAAGTACGAGAAACCTTGTAGCATGCCAGATCTTCCTGCCAAATGCTGCTGTTACTGGTTTTACTGTTATCGGCTACTTAGATCATCTCCTGCAGTCGGCAAAATTCAGGAGCTGTAATAACAGCTCATGTTTACCTGATGTGTCATCAGCTCTCGTAGATGAACCTCTCAGTGAGCTCAGCAGCTTGTCTAGCCTGAGCAGGAGCTCCTGCTTTGTTCAGTCTAGTGGCAGGAAAAGTTTTTTAGGGTGCTGGCAGCAGTCCTTCAGTCTGACTTCATCTGTTGCTTGGGTAACAGCGGAAGACTTTCCTACTCTGGAAGTGGGAAAGCTGTTGAGTGAACAGCATGAACAAGAGGAGAGGCCTGTCTCTGCAGAATTGGGCAATGTAAGCCTCAACAATCAAACTCTTTGGGACTCACAGTTTCTGATCTCTTCTGTGAAGGAAGGGGGTAAAGAGAAGGATAATGAATCAAATTCACAGCTTAATCGAACTGACAGTATCTCTGCAACTGATAAATTAGAGAGAGTTTCCTCTTCAAACACCAAATATTCACATGGAAACAGTTCCAAGTTGTTACAACATCCCTTGAAACCTGAGGTAAAAAACAATTACCCAAAACCTAATAGTAGAAATTCTTGTTACCCAGAAAAATCCCACAACTCCCTTGTTTGCAAGAGAGATGCCTCAGCTCCTAATCACACAAACGTAGTTGGAGTGTCTCAGATGGACTCTATGCTCTGGGAAGAGCTCCCATTCTCAGAAAGCCTAAACGAATTGTTAGCCAGAATAGAGGATGGCAGAAGTGTTGTGACATCACCTAGCCTTGATGCAGGCAAACATGTCCATCTTGAAAGTAGCAAGTTGGGTGTAAATCTTAACAAATCATGTTCCAGGCAAGCTGTAGGTGATTTGCCTGCAGCCAGTGTCTCAGGGAGGCTCTTGCCACCAGCAGAGAATGATAGTTGGGAGAGCACAGTGTTTGCTTGTCATCAGTCAAATGCAAACCCTCTGAGTGATGTTTCACAATGTGAGTCTTCCCCTAGAGATTTATCTTCAACCCTCAAGGAAGGTGGAGCATCCTTGCCAATTACACCAGAGCCTTCTGTTTCTCAGAGCAGATGTGTGCAGTCCGAAGAAGCAAATAGTGACCCTGCAAATTCATCTTGGTCTTTTATTAGGCTGCATGGAGAAACCTCCTGTTTAAAAAACGGTAAGACAGCCACCTGTGTACATTCAGCATGTGAAAGCTTTTTAGCTGCTTGTGAAAATAAAGAAAACTGTTCTACACCAAGCCAAAAAACAGATCTTACACTCACAGAGGCCCAGGTCTCTGATCCACCAACTCCCAACAAGGCAAGGAGGATATATAAAAGAGAATTAAAACCATTGACAGAACTGTCAGATAATACCTTAAAAAGTGTTAGTAGGAAAGAGCTGCAATGGAACACCAACTTCCCTGAAGGCAGCTACAATGCTTCTGCTGATCTCTTTGATGCAAGTGTAAGAGAGGTAGCAAAACCTGTGGAATTCTTAAATAAATCATGTAATTCTTTAATACAGGATGATACATTGACAGAGAAGGTCACAGCTGAATCGATGCTTTCTCCTGGAGGTGTTCCTTGTAACAGTTCAAAACTGAGCTCATCCCTACACAGATCCCCTCATGCTTTCAGCAAGCACAGTACACCTGTAACTTCCTCCTTTTGTGATTCAGAATGCAGTTCAGTTTGCGCTCAGGACTTTGTTCCTTATTCACAGTCAACTCCTATGACAAAAGATCTGCAGAAACTATGGCCTGTTGGGGAAAGAAGTTCTTTTATCACCATCTTCACCCCTAAGAATCCCACTAAAATCCATTCCAAAGGCAAGCGATCCAGGTCTTCCTTTCAGAACACTCTGCTGCAGCAGCTTACCAGCAAGTTAGTAAAACGTGGGAGACCAAGGAACAGGGAAGACAAAGAAAGTGGCAGCTCTGCTTCTCAGCAATTCCTTAACAGCCAACTGCCTGCCAGCTTGGAGGAGTGGACTCCTCCATCTTCAAACAAAGGGCTGAAACCAACTGCATCTTCAAATTTGAAAACAGTTAGCTGGGCTGCTGACTTGCAATCCACCTGTGGGCATGCTGGCCAGAACCCTATTTCTGAAAGCAGAAAGAACAGTGAAAATGATGAAAATCTCATCCAAAATGAGGGAATAAGCCTTGGGGATAGAGCCAGGATTCTAACAATTCCTTTATCTGCAAGTGTCACTAAGACCTCGTTTTTAAATGATCCAGTCCTGAAAACTTGTTCCCCTCCAGAAGGGAGGAGTCACCTCCCAGGTGGAAATTATTCAGGGGTTATGTTGGAAAGGCCAACTGTCTGGTCCCCTGAGCTGTTCTTCCAAGCACAAACTCCTTTTTCCAATAAGCCAAAATACTAAGAAAGATATATTTCTATGCTGTGTTCTTTTTAATTATTTTTACAAACTTTTAGGAAGGATCCAGTGGAAGAAAAAAGCTACTTAAAAGTTAAATCGTTTATTCACCTGTCAACATATGTCTTGCAAAGAGGAGTTAGGTTTATTTTCAGACCTTTGTACCACAGAGATTAGGGAAACTACAATTTGTAGTTACTATATTTTCTTGAAAATAATTAGGATGTGCAATAAACACTTTTGTAAATGTGCGAGTATTGAATAGATCCTACTTAATAAAATACATGTAGGTGAAGGGTTTTAATGTTCTCTCTTGTCTTTACATCACAAGAGCAGCACTGGAATCCATGTCCACTCCAGATTCTTGCCTGATGATTCTGGCAGGAGAAGGGCCAAGTTTTCATCGAAGATTTGATGGTACCTTGTATCTGAGCCCATTTGGGATCCTGTGACTGCCTTGAGTTGGGTGAAGGGGACCGTCTTGAAAGCTTGGTAGCAGCTCCCAGTTTTCCTACAGGCTTTTTCAAGTTAGACTGCTAGGGGCAGATTCCTGACAGTCTTTCCTTTCCTTGCTTTAAAGTCTTTCATATCCCTAACCCAAAACAGCTGCCTTTAGGGTCATTGAACAGAGAAATCTTGGATCTGCTGCTTCTAAGCTTGTAAGTCAGGTCCTGCAGAAGGAAGTGTGAAGCTGGTGGCACAGGATCTGAGCAGCCTGAAAATGCTGACATTTTGTTGTGAGTGAGTGTTTTAAGGTCCTAGTGTGGCCCAAGAGGGTGGAGGGAATGCAGCACACCTGTAGAACCAGAAACAGACCTAAAAGTACTTGCTGTGACTTTTGAGGTATAAAATAAATATAAACCATTTTACATTGTGACTGGTGACAGGGAGTGGTTACTTAGTTCCTACTCAACTACAAGGTGGATGTTTTTATCTTCCTGTGTTTGAGGCCTCATATAATTTCTACAACACCTACTTAAGCCTCCCTCTTTGTTCAGAAGAGTTTCTCAGGAATAAGGGCATTTACTCTCACTACCTTGTTCCTTATCCATGATTTTTAGCATGGATTACCATCACAGAACATACAGGTAAACTTTTTCAGTTTCTCAGGCTTAAGTTCTTTCTAGACCTAAGTTCTGCACCTTCTAATCAAGTGTTTTTCCCTTTGAGGGATGGAAGGGAGAAGGATATTTGGAATCAAACAAGCTTCTTCTGTGGCTGAGCAGGGTATAATGTCAGGCATCTCTTGCCAAGGGTGCAGATGTGCTGAGGCTGCAGGCATTCCTGTAAGTAGACCCAAGAAAAAGTTACACATGGTTATGCCACAAGTCTGCACAGGTAAACTCCTTTTACAAAGAAGCTTTTTCAAGTCAGCATTGGTTGGTTTGGTTTTGTTGGTTTTTTTCCCCTCCTTATTTAGAGTTGAAATCTAGGCACAGGTTCAAAGACTAGCCTGACATTGAAAGGACATGGAGATCACTGAAAGACCTTATCTCTTCTTGCTGTCCCTAACAAGATACTCAAACACACCACAAAAGTTCTTCTAGTGTTTAAGGATCCTGCAACAGCAGATGGCAGTGGAAAGAGGCACAAGATTTCTTCTGACAGGTCCAAGCCCAGAGCCCTGCAGTCCCTGAACCCTCGACATAAACAGCAGAAAAAGGAATATTTTTTATAGCAAAGAGAGAGACAGAGAAAGCAGAATTCGACATCATAATTTTTAACAATGTTTAATTGATGAGCTAATTATGTTTTTAAACTGAGAGAGGGAAAATCTGGGTTAGACATACAGTAAAAATTCTTTACTGTGAAGTTGGTGAGGCACTGGCACAGAGAAAGCTGTGAATGCCCCATCTCTGAAAGCATTCAAGGCCAGGTTGGATGTGGCTCTGAGCAACCTGGTCTGGTGGAAGGTGTCCCTGCCCATGGCGGGGGGTTGAAACAAGATCTTTAAAGTCCCTTCCAGCCCAAAACCATTCTGTGGTTCTGTATCAAGGTAACCTGTGAATGGAGTCACTTGCTAAGTGTGGTGCCAGTGACAGCACTGTTGCAGAACACGGCAAGGCTCTGCTGTAAAGGACACAGAGCTGCCTATGCAAGACTTCCTGGCACAGCCAGAGGGACGGAAGGTGAGAGCAGAAGTTGTAAGGGCTTTGCAAGCTGCTGCTGAGTTGCCCAGCTGAGCTTTAGCCCAGCAAATCAGCTTACCAAAACCACACCAGGGCTGCTTCAATCAGGGCAGGGCAGGGCTCCAGGATGAGGCCAAGTAAAAAGGCCTGGGCTTGTGCCTGCATTTACCAAATGCTGTGTCTATTGAAAATATTTTATGTATTGCAAATAAAATCCTACTTGATGAACCCTTGGGTCAAGTCGAAAAGGATGAAGAAATGTTGCCTGCCTGGAAATTATAAATCTGCATGTATAGCTTATATAGAAGAAATGAAGTGAAAGATTGCATTATTCATACCCAAATCACTGAGCATAGGAAAGGCAATACAGAAAAGGTTTTAAGCCATCATAACACTTGAAACCAGTTTTTTCTACTACAGCACATAATAGGGTACTGCAGTTATCATTGGCTCTTTAAGCACGCCCTTGTGATGAACTGGACAGATACCACTCAATCACCAGGAGTTAGAGCTGATCCAAGTGAGACACCAGAGACTCGATGCAGTAGCTGTGAGACACTGCCAGAGCTTCTACATCATATACCTGACAGCATCTTGACATGAAATGTTTGGTGCAGCATGAGCGATTTTTTTCAGCAGACAATTCATTCACATACTACAGTAAGTGATAGCTTTGGTGCAGGCTGATGTGATTATAATTATAAGCCTGTACAAAAAGACTAAAGCTCAGCATGTTTAATTCTGAGGGTAATAAAACTCCTGAAAATGCATACTGGGTTTGTGATTGATTCCTTGCGCATAGAAATCCATAAATCAAGACTAGATTTTAAATTAGGCAGGACTGTCTGTGCCATACCATTGAAATTAAAGCAGGGCACTCAGATCTCCTGTGCTTTGTGCAAGAGGACTGCACACAGAGTGAGAGCAAAAAGTATTGTTGTGTGACAGGCCCCTGTCAGCAAGATGACATCTTCTGGGCAGAGCTCCCCACATACTCGGTAGGGAGACTTTGACCATGAGAGGATGGAAAGGAGGCAGAAAAAGCTCTTTTGCTTTTCCTCCTGTAATCAGTCAGCCTTGCATTTCTTCCCCTGGGCAGCTTGTTCCCTTTTTGCAGGGAGCCTTTTTGTGCTCACATTCATTTCACCCTCAGCAAAGCCTGGCACAGGCTGTACCCTTGCTGCTACACCTGCTGAACAAGAAGAAGATTGCACATCCCACTGGTTAAATGTTCCTTGGAAGGAAGAGCTGCCACTCTTCACCTGCCCCTTACCTTTCCCCAGGAAGAGTTTGGTCTGTTTTCTCCACCCCCACAGGCAACACACTCCAGCCTTCCTCTCTTTCAGTAAATATTCACTTCCCAAGAGGTCTGAGCATCTGAAGGATATTTTCCTTCCCCTCCCTTTGCCTCATTCCTACCTAGAAGCATACAGGGACTTTTCCCTATCCAAATACCTCTCTGTTCTCTCACTGACTCAAATTGCCAGCTTCCTGGGGAAGGAAGAGCAGATGGTCCAGCCCTGATGTCAGACATTTACCAAGGAAGGAGCTTCAAGGTCAGTGGAAGAGGCAATAAAAGACACACCGTGTCTTCAGGCTTCACAGCTCGTTTCTCAGTCTAAGTGTTAGCAGGAGTCATCTTTGATGTGGGGCAGAGCACAGGGGAGGAAACCTGATCCCCAGAAGGAGTCAGAGCACAAGCTCTATGTATTTACCAAAAGACAAAAGGCTTAAAATGGGAGATCTTGTCCAAAAGGATTCAAGGCCTTGAGGAAGGCAGGTCATCGGGGAATTCCAGTGGAGTTCCATGAGAATGAAAACACCAAGTTGAAGGATGAACAGAAGGAATGGCATTAAAAAAAAAAAAGTGACTGGGTCAAAGAGCAAAAGACAGCCAAAGCATCCAACCATCACCCAACACTTAGCCTACACAAATCTGGCGTCTTGCTAGGACAAGAGTTTAACCTGCCACAGGCTTGCAAGGTCAGTGAGTGGATGGTGCCTCTGTCAAAGGCCACCCTCTAGTGCCTGATGCCGGCATTTCTTTGGCATTCCAAACCTCCATAATGTCTCCTACTTTGAGTATTTTTTTTTCTTCTACTGCAAAGGGACCTTGCTGCCACGGGCAGCAGCTCTACATCTGTTCTTCTTGTGAGGTCTCAGTGCTGCAAGAGCCTCAGTATGCCCAGCCCAAGCAGAAAATCCTTAGTAGTCATTCGTTTGCTGGTCTGATGTCAAATCATGTCAATTGAATGCCTCGTATTTAAGGCAACTTTGCTTTACAGTCCAAATCAAAACCCAAACAATTCAAACACTTTAAACACCAAGTGGAAAGGATTAAACATTTATTTACATACAGATACACATGTAAGCAATTTCTAAGTATAAAAAGGACATTACAAATAAACATGAAGCATCATACATTCATCATCCTGGTCAACCCAAAACACATTCCTTTCTCAAGCCCACTGTACCACACTTGACCACAAGAACTTAAAGAAGAGACAAGCCAAATGCTTCTGACAGTGAATGATTCACAGTTTGGTGATTTGCTAACACCTATACCCTTCCCAAAGACAGCACTACCCCACCAACGAGATCAATTGTCTGACCAGCTGTAGTGCATTTTTTTCCACTGAAGTGGTTGTGCTTGATCAACAAAAAACACATCCTCTCCTCATTCTTCTGGCCAAATGTTTAGGAATCAGGGTTCTTGCTAAAATTCTGTACATTGTGCTAAATTCACAATTGTTGGGGAAAAGACAGCAGAGCTTTGTGGGAAAAACTCCAACACAGAAAATTCCTTTAATGCTGTGACTTCCCTGGCATGGAAATCACAAACAAAATGCTACTGTTAGTGCTTAAGCAGATTTTTAAACTACAATTCAAACTATAGTTGATGGTATAAAACATACTTTGTTCATGCTGTAAAAGAAATTACGTGCTTCAATGTTGATTTGATAGTAATCAAAGCTGAGGGTAATTCAGGTTTTCTCCTGAGAAAATGAAGATGCCTTTGTAGCATCTCTAAAAATTATCATAGCTTTCAGGAAAGAGGAAATGTTTTAGTCAAAAGTCTAAAGGTAACGCAGAGCATGACAAACTTGTCAGTTAGATAACATTACAAAGGGAAACAAGCCAGTAAACATAAGATTAAAATGCCTACTCAAAGTATTAATGAATTCAAATGAGAACTGGGTGAGTCTTTCTGTATAGATCAAAAGAAGTTTGAAAAAAACCTCATGATCTGCAAATTCACAGAACAGCCAAATATGTGCAGCAGAACAGAGCGAAGTGGAAATAAAAGAGCAGAAAGAGCCTTGTCCCATATTGACAGCTGAGTGACTGCAGCTGCTCCAATCTCAGGGTTTTGTTGTTTGTTTTTTTCCTTTTGTAAACAGCTGTGGAGAATAAAATGGATGTGACATATCTGCAGTGCATCTTATTATGCTAAAAACGATGGCGTATTTTAAACTACTTCCCTAATATCCAGAGATATACTTGTCACTCCCAATCAGCATAGTAACAAGCGCTGGGCTTGCTCCATACTCTCATTAGAGGGCCTTTTCTCCACTAAAATGTTGGCTTTGGGAGTTAGTTTTTCCCCCTTCAGTGCTGGCTGTGTGTGGGGGTGAGTGGTAACCCTTTATTCCCAACAGTCCTCAAGAGCTGAGGCAATGGCACTGCCTGAAATCATAGCAGCTCTCCCCACCACAGACCAAGAATTTTATTCCCCTTCTATTAA